AGTTAAGGAGGCTGTGGGAATAAAGCCACTGTGTGTCTCTGTGTATGTGTGTGTATGATTGTATAGCAGCAAAGGTTGTCCAGTCTCCAGGATGTGATTCTTTTCAGATCCAAAATTTAAGAGCAGACAAGATGTTGGCTGCCTCTATAAAAAAAATGTGGAGACTAGTCTAGAAAAAATGCAAAGAAGAGCAACCAAGAGGATTAAAGGACTGGAACTGTTCTTCATATGACTGAAATATATGAAGAACAGTTGCAGGAACTGGGTATGTCTGGTTGAATGAAAAGAAGGACTTAAGGGTGATATGATAGTAGTCTTCCAATATCAATATCTACATTACGATTCATAACAATAGCAAAAGTACAGTTATAGAGTAGCAACGAAAAAAATATGGTTGGGGGTCACCACAACATGAGGAACTGTATTAAAGGGTCGCGGCATTAGGAAGGTTGAGAACCACTGTTCTAAGCAAACTTACTTGGAACCTTATAATTTTTAAGTGAAGTGTATTTTGAAGTACGGTACAATGAAATGTAACAAATATATGCTGTGATCTACTGAAAAATACAAATTATCTGCATAAGGAAATGTGAATTGTATGTTTAATTTTATTCTTTTTCCTTGTAATAGATGCACAGAATGCTTTCAAAGTACGGCTTAGTATCAAAACAGCTCTAAAAGAAAATGCAGTAAGTGAAATATTTATATATACCATTTAAAGAAATATTTCATAAAATAACTAGCATGAGTTGACGTACATCCATCGTATTGAAATGTTTTGAGAAGCTGATAAAGGAAATTATTGTATCCAGCCTCTCTCTCGCATTTGACTCTTTTCAGTTTGTTTACCATCCAAATTGCTCTACAGAGAATGCTATTTCTTCTGTTCTCTATTTGAGCTTGGCGCACTTAGAGGAAAGAACACTCATGTGTGAATGCTGCCTACTTCAGTTTGGCCTTTAATACAATCATTCCTCAGTGTCTAATACACAAACTCAGCCTTTTAGGCTTTAATACTCCTTTGTGCAACTGGATTCTTGATTTTCTTATTGATGTGTAAATTGGGACTAATATTTCTAACACCATTTTCTTGAGCACAGGTTCTCCTCAGGACTGTGTCCTAAGACCTCTGTTGTTCACCCTGTTGATCAATGACTGTTGTCATTGCCACCAACCATATTGTGAAGTATGTGGATGGTACAATAGTATTCAAAATGACAATAAGGGTGCTTACTGCAAGCAAATAGAGGGTTTGGTGAACTGTTGTAACAAAAACAGTCTCATTTTAAATATAGGAAAGTCTAAAGAGAATCATTGTTAAGTGGAAGTGATTGGCAACATCATGTTTCTGGGTGTGCACCTAACGAGTAGGCTAGCTCGGTCACTCAACAGTGAGACACTGGTGAAGCAGGCACAGCAGCGCCTGTATTTTCTGGGTCGCATGAGAAAAGTATGTCTTCCTTCCCCTGTCCTTACCACTTTCTACAGAGGGAAGATCGAGAGCTTCCTGCCATATTGCATTACTGTCTGGTTTGGAAGCATTACTGCTTCAGACACGAAGGCGGTGCAGAGAATGGTGAGGATGGCAGATTATTGGTAGTTCACTTCCTTTATCCAGGACATAGCAAATAAGCAATACTTGAGCAGGGTCCGCAGGATTGTCTGGGACACTACACATCCTCTTCATAACCTATTTTCCTTGTTACCGTCTGGAAGGATATTTCATGATACCCAAAGCAGAACATCCAGATTCAGTCCAGTTTTGTTTAATTTAGCATCAACTTTGTGAACTCTCAACTTTCCTCTTTCCACTATGTATTCAAAATGAATCGTGATTAATATTTAAATAGAATTCTTTATTGGCCAAACGTGATGGAACACACAAGAAATTTGTCTTCTGTGCATAAGCTCTCAGTGTACATAAAAGCTATAAGTGATAAATCATAGTCATAAAAATACATTCAGCATAAATCATAAGATACAACAGTGATAGTTATAGGATGCTAAATAAGCAATCAGCATAAATCATATTAGGAAACTAAATAAAACAACATAAATTGTAAAGATGCAAGCAACAAACTTATAGTCATAAGTACAAAAGGAGATAAGTAATAGGACATATGAGAAAAATAATAGTACTACAGCCTTGCTAAATAGTTTGACAGTATTGTGGGAATTAGTTGCTTAGCAGAGTGATGGTATGGGGGAAAAACTATCCTTGTGCCTAGTTCTGGTGTGCAATGCCTTAGAGCAGAGGTGTCAAACTTGATTTCATTGAGGGCCGCATCAGTGTTGTGTTTGGCCTCAGGAGGCAGGGTATGGATGGCCAGCTATACGTCACTATATGTCACTATACGTCAGGGGTGCCTGTGGTGGCCCAAGAGCTCTGCTAGTGAAAATGGGCTGTTTCCATAGTGGCCCTGCAGGTCAGATCTAAGCACCACGCAGGCCCCCAGGCCTTGAGTTTGAAACCCCTGCCCTAGAGCATCCTTTTGAGAGTAGATGAAACAATTTATGTCCAGGATGTGAGGGTCTGTAGATATTTTCACAGCCCTCTTTTTGACTCGTGCAGTGTACAGGTCCTCAATTGAAGGCATTTTGGTAGCAATTGTTTTTTCTGCAGTTTTAATTATGCATTGAAGTCTCTGTCTGTCTTGTTTGATTGCAGAGCTAAACCAGACAGTTATAAAGGTGCAGATGACAGACTCAATAATTCCTCTGTAGAACTGAATCAGCAGCTCCTTTGGGCAGTTTGAGCTTCCTGAGTTGGCACAGAAAGAACATTCTTTGTTGTGCATTTTTGATGACGTTTTTGATGTTAGGTGTCCATTTTAGGTCTTGAGATATGATAGAACCTAGAAACATGAAGGTCTACAGAGGAATTATTGAGTCTGTCATCTCCACCTTTATAACTGTCTGGTTTAGCTCTGCAATCAAGCAAGACAGACAAAGACTTCAACGG